TTTATTTTTTAAAAGTTTGCTTTCTGTGCTTAGACTGGTATCAGTCTTCTACCAACCTGCTGTGTCCAAGTCATGCTCATTTCCAGACTCCTGGCTGTGTGTACCGCGGACAAACACGATGCCAGGACCCTGATTTGTAATGTGGTTCTTAAATCTTTATTATTGCACTGAAATGGCTTAACAACTGATGTCTTAGGAAACCATCTAGTTCATGCTACGACAGTGGCTTGACCATATTGGGTTCCCACTGATGACCCTAGTGAACCTGGGGATGGGGATGCTTGTGCTCCTGGGGACCCATTCTAGCAAGTTTGTGGCCTGGTAAGAAGGTGGACTCAGAGCCAGCTCTTAGGTACCAATCTGCTCTGGAGGCCCTGCCCTTGGGAGAAGCAACCAGAAATAACCAACCACACCACTGAAAGACATGGTGTAACATTTCCAGAGTCAGCTCTTGATGGTAGGACACTATCTCCAGAATGCAAAGCTGGTGCAAACTTGAATGCCCTGCGCCACCTCATTCCTTCTCCAAAATTAGACTTGCTGACAAAAGATGCCACTACGGGGTGAAATGTAACTTGCCAAACCATGATCCTGGTCCTGAGGTGTCTCAGTGCAGCAGATTCCTCTGCCCAAAGGAGGTGGCTGGGCTACAAGATTCTTGGCCTCCTCTGGAACTGTGCCGTCAGTCACTATGGCAAAGGTGCCCAAGAAGGTGCAGCGTATCTCAGGAGAGTTGTTAAGACTCTTACTGTTTTCAGCCTCTTACATGTGTGGTTAGAATCCCCCACACTGTACAACCAAAATAAAAATGTGATAAATTCGATGTTAGTACGAGGATGCAGTTACAGTTCCCTAGCACACTAGAAAATAAAATGAAAAGGGAGGGAAAGAGGGAGGGAGGGAGGGAGACACAGAGACAGACCGAGACGTAGACAATAAGAACAAGAGGTTATCTTCTTTTGTTTTTTCTTTAATTTTTTTACTTATTTATTTTTATTTTATGTGTATGTGTGTTGTGCTTCCATGTGTGTAAGTGCACCCATGGCATTCAGTGCCTTCAGAAGAGGGAGTTGGGTCCCCTGGAACTGAAGTTATGGACAGTTGTTAGCCACCACATGGGTCCTGGGAATTGAACCTGGGTCTTCTTCAAGAACAGCCAATGTTCTTAACTCCTGAGCCATCTCTACAGCTACTTGTTCTTGTGTTCTTGGCTTAAAGAGTCTGAATTACCAAGTCCAGGGTAAACCTACCCAGAGGAGGACTGGTCCAGAGACAGTGAGATATTTTGTTCAATTCTAATATATCTAAAATTCTAACTGGGTGTGGTGGCATGAGCCTTTAATCCCAGCACTCGGGAGGCAGAGGCAGGTGGATCTCTGTGAGTTCAAGGCCAGCCTGGTCTGCATAGTGAGTTCCAGGACAGCTGGGGCTACAGGGAGACCCTGTCTCAAAAGACCAAAAAAAAAGAGAGAGAGAGAGATAAAATTCTAGTAAAATACAAATATCAACTTTACTTCATTAGTCACTAGTGTGGTCCTTCCCTGAATTGGGATGTGAAGTCAGGGAGATACCAACCTGAGTTCCATGTCATATTTCTGCAGAATTAGTCTGTAACTAGAGAGTGAAATTAGTAATTCTTTCATCATAAGGAGACATGGCCATCATGGTATTTAAACCAATCCCTAGAGAATAATGAAGTTTTACACAGAGGCAGTATATAGAGCATTTAAGAACTGGTCTCCCAGGCTATGATGTTCACATCCTGGCTCCTTCACTGACTAGCTCTTCAACCTTGGGCAAGTTACTTAAGATGCCCTCTTGGGCTCACGAGATGGAGCAGGTAAAGGCACTTGCTGCCCAGCCTGGCAACTTGAGTTCGATTGCTGGGACCCACATGATAGAAGGAGAGAACCAAGTTGTCATCTGTCTTCCATGTATGCACTGTGGTATACGAATGTGTATGTGTACACATCCACATGCACACACAAATAAATATATGTGATGATTTTAAAAAGCAGCTCTCTGGAGCCCAGGTTCTCTTGTGCAAAATGAGGGTGGTTTTAGTGCCCCTCCTCACAGGCAGACCTGAGGACTGCATGAGTTCATATTTGCATGCAAAGCACATAGGACATCATCTAGGTCACGTGTTATTATGCACCTCTACATATTGAGTTGAATCACAGAGATTCTGATTTGCTTCTGTCATCCTTCATATTTCCCAGGAGTGAAGTGGTGGGTGGAGAAGTGGGAAATTCAGATACTGACTAAAAGAAAACTTAAAAAAGATTGATCTGTGGCCACTGAGTGAAATGTATGGCCCATCCCTGGAGTAATAATCGTTAAAATTTTTAAAGGACTCAAAGCCGCTGCTGTTATTTTCAGAGCAGTTGCATATTAAGCAGAGTTGTGAACAGCTGTTTCTCAGCATGCTTTTGCACAGCATCACACTCAGTGCAGTTACACAGCTGAATATGACTGTTTGCAGATGACATCCAGATTCGATTTTATGAAGAGGAGGAAAATGGTGGAGTTTGGGAAGGATTTGGAGATTTTTCCCCCACAGATGTTCATAGACAAGTAGGTGGATTATTATTATGGTTTTCATTGTGTTATACCTTCTGCCTTGTTGAAATTCAGCATTCAATTTCCACATATTAAAAAGGAAAAATCTATTTAGCATCTGTAAAATGGTACTATTTTTAAGACTTGCAGGTCTTCCTGAAAAGTGCCCTAACATAGAACTATAGATGAAGTGCTCCTAGACCATTGGCTCACACATATGTCACTTGGTATCTGTTATTCTAGTCCTTAAGGTAGTGGCCTTGAGTTCCCTCGGAGAAAATGTTTATTGTTGAACAAAGCCTTTATGGTGAGACCTGTTAAAAGGAATTGTGTCAAAAATTCCAGAAGACTGAGGATATCATCCTGACAAGCCAGGGTCTTCCACTGGCAGCTGACTATGTGACGAGGAGCTAAAAACGCTGAGCCACCACAGGGATAATTGCTCTTTAGAAATGATTGAGAAATGGCTTTTTGAAAACATTGGAAACAATCCACATGTCCATCAGTAAATGATAAAGTTAGATAAATTGGGGTCTATCTGTATGATACAGTATCATGAAGTTCAGAGAACAGGTGCTCTTTGAACTACATAGATCTTAAAGATAGAATGCCAAGATTTGTAAAGATAGACGCAGAACACAGTGTATATAAAAGTGATTGTGTTCATGATGCTCTGGAAGGAAGTCTGAGAAAATAACTACATGTCTATGGATCCGGCACTGATGAAGTACATGAATGCGATACAGGGAGACAAGGAAAGTTTTCTTGTGTGCCATTGTGTATCTCTTCTGTATGTTCGAAATCTTGATCCTTATGAATGTAAACATAGAAAAATAACACACCTAAGTGCGTTCAATGCCAAACTCTCCAGCACCACCCGGAATCACTGTGGATGCCCCTGCACATGCTGTTTCCCTTTTGCATTACTGGCCTACAGGCTGGCAGTAGCACCCCTCTGTCTCATTCCACAGCCATCCTTCTGATGCTGCTGTAAATGACTTTACAGGCTTTTAAGGCTAATGTGAAAGAGAACTAATAGACATATGTGATCCGTTGCCATACTGTTGTATTTCATTTTCACAGTGGCAAGGTGATAAAAATAATATGGGTGCGGTGGTGCAGCCTTTAATCCCAGCACTGGGGAGTCAGAGGCAGGTGGATCACTGTGAGATCCAGGCCAGCTGAAGCTACAAGGAGATCCTACCTCAAAAAGAACCCCCAAAAAAACAAAACAAGAAAAAGTATATGGGCATAAAGCACTGTAGAACTTTCTCCAAGGTGCTGTGTTTTTCTCATACTCTATTTAAGCATTAAATATAAATAAAAGCATAAAGAATGTACTTAATCTGTGTCATTGCTAGAAAACCCAATATCCTAGACCAACATTTGGATCTTTGTACCCTGCAGTTTGCCATCGTCTTTAAAACTCCAAAGTATAAGGATGTCAACATTACAAAACCAGCTTCGGTGTTTGTCCAACTTCGGAGGAAATCTGATTTGGAGACTAGTGAACCAAAACCTTTTCTCTACTATCCTGAAATCAAAGGTAACTTGGTTGTTTAGATTATTGTACCTGTTCTGATAAGAAGACATTGATTAGGAATGATCAGTGAGTCACCTCCTGTGCACAGCTTCCTAGAAACTGGTGCCTAGACCCATGGTGTTTATTTTTAAAGAAGAGGCAGGTAATATACTATGTTAAAGTCATAGAATTAGCCCCGGTGTTTTAAAATAATGGTGTTACTGCCAAACTTGTATGTGATTTAGACATTTGAGAACTTATCTTTTAGTTTTTAAACTTTAACATTGGGCTGGCAAGATGGCTCAGTGGGCAAAGGCACTTGCTGCCAAGCCTGACTGTCTAAGTTTGATCCCCAGAACCTACATGGTGGAAAGAGAAACCTGACTGCCAAAAGATTTCCTCTGACCTCCACCTGAATGTCATGGCATGTGCATGCACACAAATAAATGAATGAATAAGTATATTTGTTGGGCAATTCAGGATTCAGCTGAGATGAAAAAATAAGATGCTTAAGAGAATAATCCACTCAATAGCAGACTCAGGTACTAAACAGAAAACCCAGCACCATACAGTACAGAACTGGACAGTAAAGAAGTCCCCATTCTCTTCCTCACTACAGACACCTCAGGAAGTGAAGACGTTTAGAATGCAAATTACAACTTTGTGTAAGGTGCTGGGATCAAACTCAGGGCCTTGTATGTGCTAGGCAGGTGTTCTACCATTGGGCCCCAGCTCTCCAATTAGAATTTTAGTAAGTCCCCAAGTGAAGCATCTACAAATACATATGAAATTTTTAAGGAGACAACCCTGGATCCTTGGTTCTAAAGAGGCCTCCAAAAACAAAGACCTCCTCAGGACATGTCATTTGGGATATGACTTGGGATATTGTTGAAAATAAACAGCACTCAAAGCTATATTTTCATAATTTAGAGATGCTCAAAGACAGAGGTGTGCACTGTCCTAGGAAAAGCAATCACTATGAGTGCTGAGATGGATGAGGAAGGCTGAGGCAGGTGAGGGAGGCCAGGCTGGGATGTGGAGTGTTCGTGTGGTTGTCAGGGGGTCTTGTGTTGACTCTAGGGAGATGGCTAGGCCTGCCTGTGTTTGGGATGATGCCCCTGGGTCCTTTAGGTTCACACTGAGGCAACAAGCTAGGCTCAGACACAGTCAAAATGAGGCTAGAATCCAAAGGCCCTGCGGTGAGGTTAGAAAAGTTTCCAGTGCCTGGGAGTGAAAGGCAGAGGTGATTCCTGCAGAAAGTGTTACAGTGGCATCCTGAAGACCTGAGTGTTGGGAGAGAGAAACGGGGAAGAGACTTAGAGTGCTGGATGGTTCTAAGGTTCCCAGACCAGAAACTTATGACATGGTTAGGTGGATAAAGGAAAACTGTCATCTGAAAAGAATGTGAAAGAGAAGCTCAATGAAAACATGCTTCAGTGTAGTTCAAGTGCAGATTCCTAGAAGGCCAGTCAAAAGGCAGGGCTCAAAGTTGAGACAGGTATTTCTTAGTTCCCTGACCCCATGGAGTTTAAGGGTAGGAATGTACAGTAATATAATTAGCGTCCTTGTATCTATTTGGAATGTTCCATATTGAAAGTCGTGATTCTAAAAAGAAATCCATAAACTTTAAAATTAAACAAATGCCTAGACTCCAACAAATAAGATATTTCTGTATTAGAGGGAGAGAGGCTGTGAGAGGAGGTCAGTGATGTGATTGTCTCTAGATGCAGGGACCCAGCCAAGGTTGGAAACCACAAAGGTGCAGCAACATTGAGACCCTCAGTGTTAAATTCACGATGGCCCAGTATAGTGCTGATCCTTGCAGCGGGCCTTCCTCTGCTAGAGTCTGTACTGTGACAGGAATGTTGAGAGCTCCTCTGTGAGACCACATTTCTTTATGAGGTATGCCCTCTCCACTGGGTCAGAATCATGGTATGTTCTGTATGACTAGCCTGCTTTCCTCCTTACCAGCTGCCTGAAGTCTTCCGGATCTCTCTGTCCTCACAAGGCAATGTGAAAATCATTGCTTGATCTGAAGCCCCCTTCTGAGAGTGGAATTTCTTGGGGAAAAAAATTAGATTTCATCTAAAATAGCTTTTCAAAATAATGTCATCTTTGTTGACTCAGAATCATGAGAAAAAGAAAACCCAGGTTACCTACACAGGATGTGTTCCTAGAAAACATTCAGAGTGAGTGGTTCCTAGGCTGCCTTTCCCAGTGGTGTGGGTACCTCAGAAAAGTACAACCTAACCAAGGCATACCACCCACCCCATCAGAATTAGTAACTTTCTGATACTGGGGTTAGAGGATGGGCTTCATTGAAAGTTCTCGATTCCAGCTATAAACTTCAAACTATGTCTTCTAGGCCATCATGAATCTAAAGCTCCATTCAGTAAAAACAGTATGAGAGCTATCTGGAAAAAGTAGAATTGGCCACTGAGTTTCAAGAAAATATTATCCAGCATGCATGTATTACAGTCAAGTTATTATGATATTTGAACTGTCTTATCGTGGGTAACAAATTATCTTGTTTTACTTTAAAAAAAAACTTTCTGAATTATTTTTTTAAATAATGGGCCACAGGAGAAATAATCGTCCCCTGTTGTGTGGTCAGAAAATCAGGCCATTTCACATTAGAGTAAGTATTCAGAAATGAGTCCAAACTGTTAATCCAGAGAGTCGCTGCATACCTTTCTCAGACATCGCCCGGCACACTTTCATCGTCCTCAGTCCTTGTAGTCCCTCCCTATCCCGTTCCTAATCATAGTCTTCATTATTTTATAATATATACATGTCTTAACTGTCATTTGTACCTGTTGTCTTTCTCCCACCTCCAATAGGAAGAATCGTCATACGGTAGTCTTTTCACTTTTTACATCTTTTATTTATTTATTTTTGAGAATTTCATACATGAGTATTGTCTTTGCACTATTTCCACCCCTTCCAGTCTCCAACCAACTCCTCCTGTCCCCCCACACACTCCCTCTTAGTTTCTTGTCCTCTTCTTTGATTATTATTGATACATATGCATACATATATTTATAAATATGCATATATGTAATGCACTGAATCCATTTAATGGTGGTCATATGCTCCTGTGTTTAGGGCTGTCCATTTGGAATTAGATAACCTCTCAGGGAGCTGGTCCCAGAAGAAAACTGATTCTCCCTCCCTCAGCATCCACTGATTACCTATAGCTCTTCATCACGAAGTAGGACCCCGTGACATTCCTCACATCCACCTTGGCAGGTCAGCTGGTTTTGTCATTTTGCAGGTCTCGTTGGACTATCATACTGTGGAGAGTTCATTGGTGCAGCTTTCCTACCCTTCCCTTCCCATGTCCAAAAGGCATTAACTAGTAGCAGGCGTCTTGCCCCTCTGACTCTTAGCATTCTTTTCACCCTCTCTTATGTGATGTTCCCTTAGCTTTAGGTGTAGCAGTTGTATTGTAGATGTGTCACCTAGGACTGGGCACCTCGCAGTCACTTGTTCCCTGAGTTTGACCACTTTTGGAACTTTGTAATCATCTCCATCTGTTCCAAAAAGAAGCTGCTTTGATGAGTGATGAGAGGTAGACTTATCTGTGAATTAAGAAATTACATTGTTATAGGGAAGTGACAGAAGTAGGTTTTTCTCAAGGTTATGACCCCTCCAGTCATAGGCACTTGGCTGTATTTACAGTACCACAAACGATTTCCCTCCCATTGATCGAGCCTTCAATCCAACTAGCTGTTGATTATCCCCAAGATAAAAGTGCCACCACTGCACCAATAGAGATAATTTGCTGGGCTGGACATTGTTGTGGTTCACAGACTTTACAGCTGGGTGGGGTCATTGATTGGTTTTCTCTCTTGGCAGTTTGCATAGTATCTTCTCATAGGTAGGTAGTCTTTGGAGAGGAGGCTTCCAGGTCCGTTCCAGCTCAGTTGTTCTAAGTCCTGTATCCAAAGTGTTAAGATAGTCTTGATCTTTCATGTCCATTGCTATGTCTCCAGCATTTAGCAAGCATATGTCACATGGTAGATGCCTGTGTGTTGACTTGCTGATTGGCCATCCTAACATACAAGACTTAAAATACATTAGGTCCCATCAAATAAGACATTAGACAGACAGAAAACATTGCTCTCTCTTTGTCCAGAATCATCCAGCCCTGAACTCTGAATCCTTTATAGCCATTCATTGATGCTGCTTCTTTTAAACACTTCTTGGCTACACAGAAAAGAAAGGCCACAGTGACTTCAGTCTGAAAAGCTGGAAATTAGGAAGAGACAGAACAATTATGTGACTTATAAACACAGAAAGTGAAAATGAGGTACTTTTAAGGCACACACATGGAAAAAGGTGGTAGGGGCTAAAATTTGGTTGTGTCTATGAACTGAAGAACTTTGTAAAATGATCAGCTATTATATAAAGTCATTATTAATCAAGTATTCATATGCAAAACTATATAACAAACAATATTTGGGGGCTAGATAAATGACCCAGTGGTTCAGACCACTGGTTGCACTTGCAGGGGACCCAGGTTCAGATCCCAGCACCCACATGGAGGCAACTGTCCATAACTCCAGTTCTAGGGGAATTCAGCACCCTCTTATGGCCTCTTTAGGCATTGTGTGACACAGGTACACTTCTGTGCATATGGGCAATATACTCACACACATAAAATGGAAATAATAAATAAAATATTTTTAATCTTTTATTATTTTTATTTTGTGTGTATGAATGTATTGCCCACCTGTATGTAGGTGCACTCCTGTCATGCAATGCCAGTAGATACCAGAAGAGGGAGTCGGATCCCCCGGAACTGGAGTTACAGATTATTGTTAGCCATAGTGTGGGTGCTGGGAATAGAACCCGGGTCCCCTGCAAGAGCAGCCAGTGTTCTTAACCTCTGAGCTATCTCTCCAGCCCCTATAAATAAAATACTTTTTAAAATACATTTTGGAGTATTTCTTAAAAAATGATAGTCCAATGGTAATGAAAATTCACTAGACTTAGGGTCTGACCTTTACTCAGCCCTGACCTCAGAAAGCCACTTAATCATCTTAGCTTCAGCTTCCTCTTCTGAAAGGAGAATTTGTAGTAAGTGACCACTTAGGTTCCTTTTAGAATATATTGATATTTCATAATACATCCTGTGGTGCCACTGTGAAAAGTAGACCAATGAGGCTGAATGAGCAAAGTAGAAAAAAAATCCCCATGTTCAACTCTGTGAAGTTGGAACCTACAGATTCCTTTATAAAACTGTCCTGTAGACTTTTCTAAATTAATTTCTTGTCATTGAAATAACACTGGCAATGTTATGGTTAATATTTTGAAATTTTTCTCTTAAATTTTTGAATTTTGGAGGCTAGAGAAATGAATCAGTGGCTAAGAGCACTTGCTGCAGAGGACCCAAGTTCAATTCCCAGCACCCACACTGAGCAGCTTGCAACTGCCTCTGACTCTACCTCCAGGGGATCCAATGCCATATTCTGCCCTTCATATTTACCTGCATCTATATGCCATGCACTCAAATAGACAAATACACACACATACATACATAAAAATAAAAATATTTAATTTTTCTAAATACGTGAAATGTAAACAGTGAGCATCTCTACTTTAAAAGGTAAACGGGGTTCATAGGAAATATGAACTGACCTCTTTGCTAGATACAATGTCAGAAAACAGTATTTAAGCTAGTGAAACGACTCAATGAAGAAAACACTTGCCATGCAAATGTGAGGGCCTAAGGTCAGATCCTCAGAATTCGCAGAAGTGTCTGTGATCTCAGTGTTCCTATGGGCAGATTGGAGGCAGAGACAGGAGAGTCTGCAGAAGTTTGAGGGCAGCTTTCCTGGCATCATAGCAGCAAAGGGACCTTGTCTCAAACAAGGTTTGGAAGGCGAGCACTAACACCCAAAGTTTCCTCTGACCTCCACACCATGCCATGGCAAATCACACACCCACACCTTAAGCAGATTTGAAAAGATAGCATTTATTTCTAAAGGTGAATGAGTATCTGTTCTTCGTGCTCCTGCTTCTACAACGTCAGATCAACAGTCCATAGGCCGACTAATGAGTAAAGCTCTCAGTTGTGGTATAACTGATGGGGAAGTGTTATAAATCTTTCCAAAGTTCCTTGGTAAGGAAGTTGTTTAAGCCTCTTTGCTTCAAGTTCACTCCCTTCCAGTAGAGGCTCATTTTTCTCAGCGTTCACTCACTCTGGCCTTTGTCGTTCCAAGTCTAGACATGCTTAGCTTCTTAGCAATTGGTGAAATGTACCTTGCTACCCTTGTTCCTTCTTTCAGCTATAGTATATGGTACCCAAATAATAAACAGCAGCCTCTGTCTAGCCCTGAGACGGCTGAAACATCCACCGGGCTAGAAAAGCGGAGATCAATATGAACATAAATAGTGATATAGACTGGCTTTGAGAAATCAGATACAGGACAGTTTTTAAGCATCAGCCTGTTCAGAGAATAAAGAATATCATGTTGACTGTTTAATATAAACAAAAAGCCTACTTCACTTCTCAGCCCCAAAGAGACCAAAACAATCTATATACTAAACAATCACAGAGAAGCAAGAAGGGGAAACAGAATGAAGGAGCAGGAACCCAATGTAAATCCCACAGACAGTGACATAATGGCTAGGGCTCACATAGTGTCAGGACTGAGGAGGGCGTGGTGGCTGGGGATCACATGGCAGTGACAACTGGGGAGGGTCTAGCGCCTGGTGGGAAGCACCAAGAGTGAAAACCCAAAGTCCAGATCCCTGTGAGGAGCCATGAAAGTCTCAGAGGACATAGACCTGGACAGTCCAGTGGCTCAGGCGCCATCGCTGTTTTTCATTCCGAGACTTCTAGAGATCAAATCATCAGTCATGGAACTTGCAGGCCTTCTTTGTATTTCTGTTGTCGTGGTAACCAGTAAAGAATAGATGCCATTACCTCATGTCTTCCTCAGGATTTGGCTCTTTAGAAAGTCCTATGGAGAAGTGGCAGGTGAAGCTCCCCAAAATACCACCGTGTTCATCATTCCTTGTTCAGATACATCCAGTAGCTCTCCTGCCTATGAACCAACCAGTCATTACTGGGGCTCCCCAATGTGGGTGATCCCACTCTAACTCCCAGCATGTCACTCTTTCATTCCTTTGTGAAATCCCTCCAGGTCCTCTTCTCAGGATGTCCCCCTAATCTCCTCACATTGGGACATGGAGTTGATAGACCATGAATCTATATCATTAAGTCACATGAATACCATCACAGTGTTCCCCACTAAGTCTCTCCCCTACTCTCTTCAAATTAAAATGGAAGGTCCTTGTCAGCAAAGACACTGTGCCATGCTTCTCTTTATCCCAGAACCCAGCTCAAAGTACATGCATCATAAGTTAGCTGATCAATTATAGCTGTTTTTTATTCTGTATCTCTGAGATACCTAAATCTTTGAGGAGCATTCCATCTCTCACCAGCTTATCAACACCAGGAACTTAGGAAATGTTGCCGAGTAGAATTGGGTGTGTACTGCATTGTGGTCTCTGAGGCTGCTGCACGGCCTTCATGCCCATTGGAATAAGTGTAATACTTCTTGAAACTTGGCACCTCTTCCTCCTTGGGCATCTTCTGTTTCCCTTTAAGACGTTTAAAAATATCATGAGAATCAATGGTCTTTCTGTGGCTGGTGGTGGAACCCAATCAGTCTTTCTGCTCTGCTTTCTCTTCCTGTAAGTACAGATAAAGAGGAAGTGCAGCGCAAACGACAGAAGCTCATGCCCAACTTCTCCGACAGTTTCGGTGGTGGTGGCGGAGCCGGAGCTGGAGGCGGAGGCATGTTCGGGAGTGGTGGTGGAGGAGGGAGTGCTGGAAGCCCCGGCCCAGGTACAGGAAAGATCTCTTCTGTTAAAGTCTTTTCTTAGTGGCCAGGATACTGTTTTCTTCTCCGGGGTTTCCAAGCATGCCTGCAGATTTCATGGCTGTGACATTACTAATTATGAGATTTCCAATTAATTAAAAATTTCCTACAAATGCAATTTTTTTTTCAAAGACATGTGTGTTCATCTCACAGTACAGCGCCTCCTCCCCCATCACAGTTTCACTTTTTGTGGTTTCAGTTAGCCGCGGTCAACTTCAGTCTAAAAATACTACCATTGGGACTGGAGAGATGGCTCAGAGGTTAAGAGCACTGACTGCTCTTGCAGAGGACCCAAGTTCAATTCCCAGCACTCACATGGCGGCTACAAACCGTCCTTAACTCCGGTTCCAGGAAAATCCAAAGCCCTCTTCTGACCTCCGCAGCATTGCACAAGGGCACATTCACATACATGCAGGCAATACACTCGTACATATAAAATAAGAAATAAAATATTTTTTAAAAAATGCTACCATTGTCCTTACCATGGTTCTTTCAAGAGAACCATATGCACATAACTGTTACTACAATATGTTGCTACAACTGTCTTATTATGAATTATTCTTTTTTATTTTTTTATATTTCATACAGAACATCTCAAACAATCTTAATCATCTTTATACCTCCCATATTATGAATTATTCTTGCTCATCTCTTGCTGTGCTTAATTTAAAAATTGAACTTTATCATAGATCTGTGTGTATACTAGGTCTGTATGTATCTGCAGCTTCAGGAATATACTGGGGGTCTTGGATCGTATTTCTTTTTTTTAACATTTTTTTGTTATTTTTATTTTATATGTATGCGTATATTGCCTGCATGTAGGTGAGTGCACCCGTGTCATGCAATGCTAGTGCAGGTCAGAAGAGGTGGTCGGATCCCCTGCAACTGGAGTTACGGACAGTTGTTAGCTGCCATGTGGGTGCTGGGATTCAAACCCGGGTCTTCTGCAAGAACAACTAGTGTTCTTAACCTCTGAGCCATCTCTCCAGCCCCCTGGATCGTATTTCTTAAGGATAATGTGTGGTTAAGAAGAAAAAGTCAACCAGAGCCCGTTATCCAAAACATAACCTTCCTAAAATAATTTTGTGTACTTCCCCCTTTATTTTTATTTCTTTGGAGGGATAGTTTTATTATTCTGAGGAAATATTCAAAAGACTATATCATACATGTTACATGGCAGATGTATGTTATATATCTATATGTACATACATTGAAGATGTATGTTATATACCTACATACACTACATTGAAAATTCTACCACCAAAGACTTTGCACGAAAACTCTGTAATGGTACATATATGAATTTCTTCTAACCTTTTATGCATATATTACAGTCAATATTTATGAACGTCCTCTGGGTGCAGCTGTGGTCATCATGCATAAGATTTTAACCCATTTAATTGTATTAGATTTTCATGATCATTCCACCATGATTGTGCTGCTTTTAGCATAAGCATTCCTCATAGTAAATAGTCTTCACATAAGCATAATTTGTCAAGAATCATTTGTAATGATTCATAATAGATCAAGTAAAGAACTGTTGGCATAACTAACTTGAATGCTGTTTCCTTTTTTCTGTACAGTGCTGTCTGAATTCCTACTGGATGCATGGCTTTCCTTTTAACTCCAGATAACTTTTAATTTAAACTCTTGAAAGTATAATTGTCATGTCAGAAAGTGTGGCACTAAATGCTAGCTGTTTCTCCAGAAAACTTTATCAGTTAAGCCTTCTTCCAACAATTACTGAGAATGAGCAGTGCTGGCCTTTACATTGAGGCCTCAGAATTTTGAGTTTGGGTTTTTTTCTCACCAGGGATTATTTTAAAATTAATTGTTCTCCATGCAGGGCTAAATCTGAGTGTGACCACCCACCCTTAGCCTCTGCCTTTTAACACTGACTCCTCCAGCTGCCTGTTTTGAGTACTTCCTTGGTTTCCACAGTGGGATTCAACCATCCCATCTCTCACAGATGTCTCATTGACTCTCAGTAGAAGCCCCATGTGAGGCCAGTACTGCCTCCTATCAAGGCCTGCTCCTCCAAGAGGGTACCCACTCCATTAAAAAATCTTTCTGATAGCCCTTTGTTTCATTGCTGGTTCAGGATATGGCTTCCCGCACTATGGATTTCCTGCTTACAGTGGGATCACATTCCATTCTGGAGCCACTAAATCCAATGCTGGGATGAAGCATGGTAAGTAGTGCTTTAATACCCAGGAAGAAAAGAACTTACAGCCAAAAGGTTCTCACAGCTGTGTCACCTTGAAAATGTTAGAAAATAACTTTACATTAAATCAGTAGTTCCATATTATTCCAGGATAGTATAAACCATATTCCTAACACTTGATTAGATATTTACTTATTAAGTGGCTTGAATGGGAGTTGGGGGAGGGGATTGCAAAACAATATAGAGAGACTTGACCAGTGGAACATAAACATATCACCACACTTATCTGTTATCTATCTTTTCTCCTCAAGTACTATACTTCTGAAAACCATTTTAGTTTTACAGGATTGGCCTTTTCCAGCCACATGCATCCTCCAAGTAGTTGTGGCTACACTCTGCTCATAGTTTATACAAAGGTACATTCTGTTATATCCACAGAAGAAATCATTTGATAAAGTTTGCCCATCTATTTAAAGCCAGTTTTATGTCAGATGCATACCTTAACTGTAATCATTCTATTTTAAGATCTTAACTGACTTTATATTTTAGCCTATTATCAGGTAACACTTTATTCCATTAAAGAGAACAATTGTTTCCACTAACTGTAATCTTCATGATTGTTCTGCAAGAAAAATAATTGGCGTTAACCATTTTATAGACAGAAGGTGGGGTCCAGAAACATTTATTTACTCACTGAAGGCATGCCCATCACTGTTAATGGCAGAATCAGATTTTGAACCAAGCTTTCCCAGGAATCTTAGGTGTCCTTACATCTGCCAAATAACACAGTTGGATCAGACATGGAGCACCAGAGGCATTCCTGACCAAACACTGAATGGAGATCCTCTCCTTACAACTTCACTTGTACTTAGCAATAGGAAAACAAATAAATGCTCTGCTTTCAAGAAATTTAAGTTTATCCACTTCCTTTCTGTGTACAGAAAATTTTTATTTCATTTTTCTCCTTTGCAGTTAAAAAAAAAGATTTGTTTGTTTTTGAGACAAAGGTAGAATCTCACTCTGTAGCTCAGGCTGGCCTTGACCTTGTGGTCAACCTTGGCCTTGATCCTCTTGCTGCTACCTCCCTAGTGCACGGACTACAGATGTGAGCCACCATGTCTGGCTACAAGATGGGACCGAAGTTTTTAGAAGAACAGCTTTAAAATGTGTCTTAGAGCTGGATGTTTAAAATACATCCAAAACATAGTATAAGTATTTATTTTTTCTCTTTTCAGCAAGCTTGCCTTCCTTTACTGCCCTACACTGAAATAATGAATTATAGCTTAATAAATTTTACTGAGAAAAAGATGTTGTTTCTTCATTTATCCTAGGAACCACAAACACTGATTTGAAAAATGACCCTAAAGGTTATGACAAGAGTGATAGCAGAGAGCTTCCGAGTCTCTCTGGGAAGGAAAGTGAAACTGCAGAACAAGATAAGACATCCCACACATCCAGGAACAATGAGGCTGCTCCGACACCCTTGGTGGGAGCCAGGGAACAGGATCCTGAATTCCAGGGTAGGTGAGCATGCCCATGAGGGTGGCTGGGGAAGGTGCAGCTCTCAGTAAGGAAGCTATTTCCAGAAGACAGGTTTCCTTTCTGTAAATCTAAAGATACATCAGCATTCCGTTCACGGTGCTGTGTGCCTTCTGAGAAGTGTGTGTCAGGTCACTTTATTCATCTTTCCAATGTTATCTCTGATTGCAAAATGCAGAAACTTACATGTACCTTGTCCAAACACAGACAAGCAGTGTAGGGTACTGGGAGAAACAATCCACTTCTTTTCTGACACACATAACAGAGTTTACCAGATCTTCACTCTCACCCCTCCCATCAGCTAGGCTCAGCTGCCACACTAAAGGGAACTTTGCCTGAAAGTGGGACTGTTTTTATCCTGCTGTCCTCTTTGAAGAAGTAGGACGAGTAGGAAATACACTCTCTCTTTCCTTTGAACAAGTCTCATTGGCATATGTTGTGATTCTAGGTCATCCTAAGTCAGAGACATCTTCTGGAAAGAGTAAATATTTAGACTTGGTGGTCACGTATGGTCTCTGTCACTTGTTATCCTTTTCTCTGTTTGTTTGCTATTTTTTTATATCCTTTTAAGATGACACTGTGTAACCAAGGAGTCATATCAAAACAAGTTATACATGGCCTTTTGTGGACCTGAGTTCACAGTTTGCCATTCCCTAACCTTAAGAAAATGAACTTTGCAAAAACACCAGTGGCTTGCTGAAATGATGTCTGTGGCCAGAACATATTTCTTCACACACTGACTGACTGGATTCCAGTGAAGGATTATCTTATAAAAAGACTGGTTATTTAAAATCATGGCAAAATCCAGTTATGCAGAGATTGATTATTCTCCCTTAAGATCATAGACATTGATTATTCTCCAAATAACAGAACTTTCTAAATCTTCCCTCACAGTCTGTAGACACATTTCTAAATCAAACTCTTAACTATATTTGCTGAGACAATGCCCAATTGTGCTTTTTCTAGTTATTATAACCCAGAAGTACCAAACGGAGTGTTTTCAGCTAAAATGATGTGCCATGCCTGTAGGGCGAGCAGATGGCACTCAGTGTGCCTGTGTACATTGCCTTGCAGGTAACCTCTTTCTCGAGAAGGCTTTGCAGCTCGCCAAGCGGCATGCCAATGCCCTTTTTGACTATGCAGTGACTGGAGACGTGAAGATGTTACTGGCTGTGCAGCGCCATCTTACTGCAGTGCAGGATGAGAATGGGGACAGGTGAGTTAAGTCAGGACTGCTGTATAGCAGGCAGTGTTTAGGATACAGAAGAGCAAAGAGCATTCTCTGATGTTAACTGGCTAGAGAGAAAAAGTTCTTGAGTCCTATAATAAAATGCAGTCTCCTGTTAGGCTATTGTCCATCAGACCCTAAAGTAACTAGAGTGCTCATCAAAGAGGGTACCTCTCTAGGCAAGAAAACTCGTGTGTGTAGGGGGTGGTCATTTTTTTAAATCCTTGCTTTATTTATTGAAATAATACTGTGAGGGTTAGGCATGGTGGCGCACACCTTTAATCCCAGCACTCAGGAAGCAGAGGCAGGCAGATCTCTGTAAGCTAAAGGCCAGCCTAGCAAGTTCCAGGCCAGTTGGGGATACAGGGAGACCCTGTCTTAAAAAGACAAATAAAAAATAATAATAATAATATTGGGAGCATTAAGAATCCTACCAAGTCCCTAAAGCATTATTATCCCTCCTGTGCATTTGTGATCAGTGTCCCCAAAGCCCAGTAAAGGCAGCCGCAGCAGCATAGTGAGGAAGAGGAAGCTGCCTTCTTTCCCGGCCTCTGGCTCCTTCTCTGAGGCCTCTGTTATTGGCAAACAGAACATGAGCGGATCCACTGAGCTGCTGCTTCAGGTCCAGCTGTGTATGATTCTGACCTTCCAGAAGCCGTGCCTTCCATTCCTGCTGTCCTATGTACAAAACCATCTGGTTTCTTTCTAAAACGATTCTCTTAGTCCTTTCATTGAGACTTCTGAAATTATCTCAAAAGCCCATAAAAATAACAAGAGAGTGCAGTCTGGAGATTCAAGTCCTTTATCTAAGACGATCTTAAAATAGCATCAACATTGAAAAATTCTTTTCTGTGGAAGAGCTCTTGAGTGTTTTATTTTAGGTCTCAGTTTGAAAACCAAATGCTTTAGGAAAGTGCCAACCTCAGGGGTTTCATGCAGAAACCTTTGTTCTAATTCCTTGCAGCATAACCAAGGATGTGGTATAACCCACTGGCCTTGTTATACGGTACAAGAAGAGCCTGTACAACCTTCGCTGTGTAAAGCCAAAAACAGCAGAATGCTTCTTCAGGGTTAAATAATCCAGTTAGCATTCAATAGCAAATAACCACAAAAGAAAGCAGTTAACGAGACAGGACAGCAGTGTTTCAATGACATCTTCAGGAACCTGATGAATTGATGAGTCTAAGGAAGATGAGTGCATGCTTGTTAGGAAGGGGGTGCTAGTGTCTGAAGGGAAGATTGTGGAAAGGGATGACAGGTACAGGCTTTCCAGTGGGTATGCCGAGAGAAAAGCAAGGGCATGTATAAGGACCCTGGACATACATGGAGCAGCTGAGGCAGTAGCCTTCCTTGCCAAGCAGGATGTGAATACATAGAGCCCCTTCTAGGGTCCAGACAGACTCACACAGTAGTCTGAGAGGCCAGAGATGTGAGCCCAGGGGAAACATGGGCATCTACTTAGGAGTGTAGACATAGGAGGTCTTTGGTTAGCACAGCTCAGGCCTCTGATTGAGCTTGTCATATTTGGCTAATAATCTAAACCCTGTGGCCATTAGTCATCATAGAAAATACAGTAAAGAAAATATATAGCATGCTCTGGTATTAGGGAAATTCCTACAAGGGTGTGAGCATTTGAAGAGGGTGTACACTTCTGCTGTGAAATGCTGAGCTGCACATGGAAGTTTTTAGGCAATTTTTGAAACATACCCTTTTTTTCTTAATGTGTAAATGTCATGCCTAAATTGGGCCCTTCTCAAGTCTTTTCTAGCACCCTATCAACAGCAACAGTGGAGCCAGAAATCATTCATTTAGAAATACCCTCAACAAGGAAAATCTCAACTTAGATTTTTTTAGACTTCCCTATGCCAGCATTGACCCCAAGTAAATCATATATTCTTAGAAGTAAAAACAATCCGGCCTGCACCTCCAGTCCCCAAGGTCCTGCCTTTCTGTGGCATTCTGCATCTCAGCCTGCCCATGCTTTGAGGAATCACCCTCCTAGATGTTCATCTGCACCTCTGTAGAACATGGTACATGTGTCCCTTAAGCAAAACAGCTTAAGAGATTAGGAGGCTGCTGTGAGGCATGGCGACACATACCTGACAAGACAGGTTTTTAATTCCGGCTACCACTGCTGGCTGCTCTGTGACTTTGACTAAGTTATGTCTGTTTCATCATCCAAGAATCAAAAATGAGATTGCCTCATAGAACTACCATGAGATTGTAGGTATCTAATGATTTGCATAGTCTGATAACTAGAAACTTTCAACAAATAGTAGCCACTTGTTATTATTGTTGAATTGTTTCAAATTAATTTTAATAAATATTTTAACTATTTTAAAGATTATGTCCTAGGAATGGCATTTGACAGCCAAAAAAACTCCTCCTTATAGAGAGTCTCCTGAGGTTCCATCATTCTCATTTTACTGACTACACCATGCCCTGTAGCTGTGGGACTGAGTAGACTTAGATCCTGCCCCAGAGAAAGCCATGGCTAGAAAAGGGAGCAGTGTACAGAAAACCACAGTGGTGTAGCACAGCAGTCAGTATGACAGACACTTACTCAGGATGGAGGGTTTGAACTGAATATCCCAGATGAAGTAGGCATTGTCCAGTGAGGAAAAGAAAGGAGAGCTATTCCAAGTAGAAGGAATATTGGCTGGAATGTCAGAGGCCAGTTACAGGCGTGGCATACAGTGACTCTTCAGACTTTCCTCCCAATAGTTAAAATTTGCTTTACTGTCCCCCTCTTGGGATCTAGGAAGAGCTTTAAAAATCCCCTTTTCAGAGCTTGGTGTGGTGCTACAGGCCTGTAATCCCAGCATCCTCGAGGCTGAGGCAGAAGGATCACTGCAAGTTCAAGGCCAGCCTAGGCTGAATGACAAGGCCCTATCTCAAAAAAAAAAAGAGAGAGAGGAATAAATGGTCACCTCACAATACTTTGGAGGAGGAGATCTAGGTGACTAAATTTTTTTGAGCAATCCCTAGGCCTGGGACTTCTTTTTTATTCACTCTGCGTCAAGGAAAAGGTAGAAGGGAGCTGCATAAATCAGGGGCACAGAGGAGGGTCTTCTTGGAGCTAGGGCCCTCTGGTTTCCAAGTCAGGTGCCTTTTCACTTTATGTGTTTGGTTAGACATAAACACTCCCAGAGGCAGGCAGGAACCTGCGTATCGCAGGGGGAGAGGGATCCTACAGAGAGAGCATGTCACTGCGGATCAGTACATTATATAGATTGAAAGCATTGTGGGGCCCAATCATCTCTTGAAAAATCCTTGTTTCAACTGTTTCGTTCCAGCGTCTTGCACTTAGCTATCATCCACCTTCATGCTCAGCTTGTGAGGGATCTGCTAGAAGTCACATCCGGTCTGATCTCTGATGACATCATCAACATGAGAAATGATCTATATCAGGTAGGCAGAAATCTCAAAGAAACCACTGAAGAAAAAAAATCTACTTTTTAATACCTGTGTGTGCTGGTTTTAGTAATGTTAACAATAGAAATGAAAACAGTAAAAATGAAACAAAATCTTTTTAGCAAACTCAGCATTCTTCTGGGGAAGGTAAAGTTTATACTTTAGAAGTCAGAGTTGATACAGTTTAGATTAAGAACCTAGAAAAAAACTCATGTCTGTCAAAACAAGTTGAAAAAAAGTTTGCAGTCTAGTGAAAGGTACTTCGACAACATCAGATGGTGTGTGTGGGGGGGGTGTGGGTGTGTGTGGGTGTGTGTGGGTGTGTGTGTGTGTGTGTGTGAAATAAAGAGTGCTGAAATCTGAACAGGGAAAGGAGAGCGGTTGCTGGGGGAAGAAGGCATGTCTTTCAAAAACAGGACAGCTCAATGTGAAGAAAACTGTGAGCACAAAGAGTTTTGTCCCATTTGAGTTTGAGTAGAAATTAGGACTTTTAGAAAGGTTTTAACAGCCTGAATGATTTAGAAGCTAGCTGGAGACTCTGTGACCACCTAGGGGCATGTGCAGATTGTAGGGTGAAGCCAGGGATAGAAACAACTCTGTGTAGCCAAAGCCTAGATGCACGCTACTGGGAAGCCAAGATGGTGGCCTCCTGGAAGGGCTCCTTCCTCTCTCCCGTTTCTCCAGCCCACACTCTTTCCTCTCAGTCTTTTTATCTCATCCTCTTGTTAGCTTTCACGTTTCACTTTCCATTCACTTGACCAGAGTGTCCTTCTTGTCCCCCTTGGCCTTGATGGTGTGTGTGGGTCTCTGACTGGAACTTAAATTTCTTTCATTCCAAATATACGGCCATCAGTCACATAGAATTATTCACTTAGAAGAGGTAAGAACTGTTGCCATTGTTTGTTTTCTCGGTTGGTTTGTTTTGGTACTTGAACCCAGAGCTGGGCCGACTCTCAGGACTTACTGTGTGGCCCAAAATGGCTTAGAATCCTCAGTCTCCTGCCTTAGACTGAATGCTAGGATTACAGGCATGTACCACAGTTCCTGACACGTGATCTCATTTTAAGAATATCTTATTTGTTATTTTTATTTTACATGTATGAGTGTATTACCTGCATGCATGTAAGTGCACTCGTGTCATGCAATGCCAGTGGAGGTCAGAAGAGGGCTTCAGGTCTCCTAGAACTGGAGCTACAGATGGTTGTTAGCTGCCATGTCAGTGCTGGGAATCAAACCCCAGTCCTCTGCAGCCAGTGCCCTCAACTGCTGAGCCATCTCTCCAGCCCTGTGATCTCATTTTAAAGAAGAAATTTAAATTATTTTAAAAGAAATAAAAAATTAAGCACTGGGGAGATGACTCGGTGAATAAAGCACTTGAAGTGGAAGCATGGAGACGGTGCTCAGACCTGGACACCACCCCATAAGACCAGACACAGTTGCACACATCGGGGAGCCCAGTGTAGCTTCAGTGCCCTGCGAGAGTGTGGCACACACAATGATAAATGAGACACCCAGCCTTAAAACAAGGTGGAAGGCAAGGATCAGTACCCAAGGCTGTCCTCTGACCTCCAGAAGCACCTGTGGCACATGTGTAGTCACACCTACAAAGAAGCATACACTTTAAAAATAATAATTTTAACTTCCTTTAACTTTAAAGGAAATCAATATTTATTTTTATTTCCACATTTTTTAGTTACTTTGAAAGTTCTAAAGTGTGGGCTGGGAATAGCTCCACGGTAGAGCGTTTCCCTGGTATCTGTGAGGATTTGGGTCTAATCTCATCATCATTGAAGAACAAAAAGAAACTGCTAGAATGTTGGCATGCAGCTCTCAGGAGGCTTCCTCTGGGGACGGGCTCTCCTGGCAGAAGTAGCTGCTTCCACTGCATCCCACAGAGCCTTCCTCAGACCACTTCTCCCGCTTGCAGCAGCGCTTCCTACCAAGGGAAAACTTAGGATTTGTACTCAGTTATGAAATCACTAGGGTGAGGGCTTTTTAAATTTATATTTAAAGAATTGTCTTCCTCGGGGTTTCATCCCATCTTAGGGAGTTATTGCTGTTTGGTGTTTGGTGAGTCATTTGGCCCCAGACATTTTATTTTCCAAGCTTTTAGACCCACTGCTTCTTTTAACCATCACAAGTATACAGACAAGGTACGAACAGGATGGTGTGACTTGTCAACCCTCTTTCAAAGACTGCCTACCTCCATTGCTGTAGGTCAGATTCCAGGAAGCTTTTGTCTTGCTGTTGGCAGATAGGATGTGCAGAGGGCAGGCTCTGCATCATTAGAAGCTGGGGTTTATTATGTGAGAAGGAGATTTCCACCTGTCCTCATCATTGTGCCTGGAGACACTACTGTGCCAAAGGCAAAAACCCTGTCAGCCTGACTTTCTTTGGGGTGCCTCAGGGAAACAGGCCCTGCTTTTCCCACTAGTTAATAGGAAAACTTCTGCATTCCCTGGTCTGCCTTCACCTGAAAAACACCACTGACAGCTTTTTTTTTTTTTTTCTTCTGATTACTGTTGTCTTTGTGGGAGCGTTTTGTTTTGTTTTTTTGAGAGGTTTCCCTGTGTTCCAGACTGGCCTGAAACTTGCTTTGTAGCCCAGGCTGGCCTGGAAGTCACAGTCCTCCTGCCTCTTCCTCTTGAGTGCTGGGATTGCAAAAGTGTACTATCATACCCAGACTGATAGCTTTTCAGGTTTTTGTTGTTGTTTTGTTCTGAGACAGGGTCTTATTGTATATCCCAGGCTGGACTAGAACTCACTGTCTAGGTCAGACTCATGTCAGTCCTCCTGCCTTAACCTTCAAAATGCTAAGATTTGGAAGTGCACCACCACATCTAGCTGAGTTAATAACTGTTCTTGATGGAAAATTACCCAGTTCTATAAGTAATTTGGATTATTTGTAAATTATCTTAAACATTCACCCCGAATACCTTCTAGTAATCTTAGTACATTTCTGTGACCAGATGCCATATCAAATCCCTGTCCCATCCACTCTTTAGGGACACATTCAAAATAGCCTGTGTAGTATAGAGAGGAGTTTTCTGAAATGATTCTCTCTAAACCATAGTTTCCTCTTGGTTCCTCCTCCAAATAAGCAACCATCCAGTGTTTTTGATATGGGTTATTTTATTTTTGTATGTTCCATAAAATGTCACTGGGTGTTTTCCATGCATGTATTTTTGTCTTGTGTTTTCAGTTGCTATAAATACCATATGTATGGATATATGTTGGGAATTCGGAATTGTTCTACCTAGCTTTAACAGATCCCAATTCTCAGATGTAACCATTATGCTTATGGGTACAATAATTTTCCAGGTGTTGGCTACATAAACATGCATTCAAATGACATGCATCCTTGAGTATACTCATATACAGTCCATATTATTTTATACATATCTCCTATCTTGCATAGCCTTTCTCTTTAATTTTTAATTCAATATAATTATAGATTCAGTTGTTACAAAATTATGCTGAAAGAACTTGTGTATTTCCTGTGAACAAACTGAGAGTTCATTCACCCAGCCCCCCGCAGTTACATCCTGCATGAGCAGAGCATGGTATGAAAACCAGGAAATTGAGATAGATACAACCCACAGATCCTAATCAGATTTCACTGACTTTATATGCACTCATGTATGTAATAGCTCTGTAGGTTTCTTCAAGTCAAACACAGTGATATGCACCTGTGATCCCAGTTAATTTGGGAGGCCAAAACAGGAGAATTTCTTGAGCATGGATGTTCAAAGGCAGCCCAGGCAGCATAGAAAATCCTGCCCCTAGAATGAATGAATGAATAAATAAATAAATAATAAATAAATAAATAAATAAATAAATAGTCCTTCACAAATATGCTTTTAAATGCATGTGTAGCACTGCAGTGAGTGGACCTCCTCACCAGGTCCACTTGTGGATCTAGGTGAGAATTGGGTTGCTAGGACAGTTTGAAAACTTGGCTCTCCAGAATGTCTGTGTTACGCCTCCACACCCACAGACAGCCTGAGGGTTACTTGAGCCCCACACTGTGTAACTGTTTAAGATAGACCCCTAGGGTTTAACATCTAGAAACTTGAAATATCTAAGGAAACCTTTGATGGCACAGTGGGATACTTTTTTTAAAATGCTGTACTCATAGAAAGAAATTTTATGTAATATGAAAAATATTATATCAAAGTATTAAAACAATAGCAGGTCTGGGGATGTAGTTCAGTGATAGAGTATTTGCCTACATGCACAAATCCCTGGTTTGTTTCTCAGCACCACAAAAAACAACCACCACAAGAGGAAAAAAAAAGAGAGAGAGAGAAGAAAAAAACTGAAAATTATTACTAATTGATGAATGAGTTACTGTAACTTCAGATTTTTTTAAAGTTTCATTCTCTTTTCTTTTCTCATTTCCCACCACACTTCAGGAAACAAAAGTTAGTAAACGTAGCCTTTATTGAGTAATTAATTTTTGAGAAGACTCTTTGCAGCAACACCTAAAGTCTTGAAGACATCAATCCATTTCAGTCCAAGGTTATAAACTTAGGAGGTGAAAAAAATTGATGCAGATGATCATTTTCCCCTCTTCCCACAATCCTGCATTGTTCTGCTGCATTAAAAAAAAATCAGTGTGGGGGCTGGAGAGATGGCTCAGCGATTGAGAGCACTGGCTGCTCTTGCAGAGGACCCGGGTTCGATTCCCAGCACCCACATGGCTGCTAAAAGCCATCTGTAATTACAGTTCCAGGGGAATCCCCAATGCCCTCTTCTGACCTCCTCAGGCATTGCATGATGCAGGTGCACTTACACACATGCAGGCAATATACACATACATATAAACTAAAAATAATAAATAAAAATATTTTTTAAAAATCAGTGTGTTGGGGCTGGAGAGATGGCTCAGTGGTTAAGAACACTGGTAGTTCTTGCAGAAGACCTGGGTTCAAATCCCAGCACCCACATGGCAGCTAACAACTATCCGTAACTCCAGTTCCAGGGGGTCCAGTGGCCTCTTCTGTCCTCCACTGGCATTGCATGACATGGGTGAACTTACCTACATGCAGACAATATACGCATACACATAAAATAAAAATAATAATTAAAAATATATATATATATTTATAAATCAGTGTGTCCTATATTTAGACAGGCAGGTATCTTTCACCCTGCCAGTAGCAATGTGCTGGGGTCATCATGGCACCTTGGGTATTGGTGCCCACCGGTCACTGCTGCTACAGTCAGGAACTACTCCCTGAATGGGAGGTTAGGCAAGTCCTCACTAGACAGGCTAGATTTTATTGTGACGTTCCTATGAAATAGACTGGTGTGTGTGTGCGTGTGTGTGTTTGTTTGTTTTAAATTGTTCTCAATCAGTGATCTCATTTCTCTGAAAGATTTTTCATGGTTGTGTTAGTCTTGCCCATTTCTGAGAAGAGTTTTCCAGACATCTCATATGTGTCCAGTGGACCACTGCTTTGTGGTCAGGATGGTCAAAAAGACCTTTCAGTATCTTTTAGGTGCCAGTGACTCATTGTTTTTTTGTCTGAGCTTTCTTAATGAGAGACTTACACCGTTTAGAATCAAATAATGCCTTTGATTGAATTGGGACATAATGTGACATGTGCAGGTCTTATGAAGCCCTCCATGGAGTAGTGTGGTCTAATATAGTAGAGGTTTTTTGCGTGTACTGTAGAAAGATGGAACCTTTGTTGGTTGGTTCCTTCTGAACAGTCTATTTAAATTTCTTCACAAAAACTACATTTTTGGTTTGATTTGCTAATATATGGAATTATCAGCTGTAGATAAATTTCTACTGGAAATTCAAGAAAACTGAAGTTGCTGCTAGGTGAGGTAAAATATCAACAATTGGACTGTGATAAGAAAGAAAAGGCTGTCGAGTGTTTTAGTTGCAAAAACATTGAAACTTTAACCCTGATTATTTGATGCTAGTCCCCTATACATGCCTTTGAGTATAAGTTGTGGAACACAATGTGCCTTGGCCAAAGTTAGGAGTAAATCTGAGAACGGGAAATGGCCCTACAGTGTGACCCCACACTTTAGTGGTGGCTGTGAAGCCATGGAGTACAGATGTTCACCACGGACCAATGACTCTCCCACCCCTTCTCCACCTAGACACCTTTGCACTTGGCAGTAATTACCAAGCAAGAAGATGTGGTGGAGGACTTGCTTAGAGTTGGGGCCGACCTGAGCCTTCTGGACCGCTGGGGTAACTCTGCTTTGCACCTAGCTGCCAAAGAAGGGCATGATAAAATCCTCAGTGTCTTACTCAAGCACAGAAAGACAGCACACCTTATTGACTGCCCCAACGGAGAAGGTAAGGGCCAATCACACTGCTAATATAACCTTTCCCTTCAGCTTCTAAGTAATCACTTGGTCCTTGATAAATGTGTTACTTGATCTTCACCCACAAGTGCTTTCCTCTGTCAACTGGAGTTCATCAGATCTTGTGGTTATTTCTTCTGATCATCACAGTAAATTCCTTTAAAGATGATTTAGAAGAGTTCATCAATAGAAGGAAAGTGGAGGCCTGAAGAAACACTAGTCTCCCAAAGTATATAAAGCGTCATTTATTCAGAAAGTGTTTATTAGCACAGTGTCCTCTGAGAACATAATAGAAAGCTTGGCATCTGAAAACAGGACAGCGGGCCTTTGGAGTGGGCAAAGCGCGTCCAGAGCAGAAACCAGAAGTGCCCACCGTCCAGGTCCTCCATTCCCACCCATGTCTACCCCTGTGCTTGGCCGTAGGTCTAAATGCCATTCACATAGCCGTGATGAGCAATAACCTGCCGTGCCTGCTGCTGCTTGTGGCCGCTGGGGCAGATGTCAACGCTCAGGAGCAGAAGTCTGGGCGCACAGCACTGCACCTGGCTGTGGAGCACGACAACATCTCCTTGGCTGGCTGCCTGCTTCTGGAGGTGAAGGACGTACTTACTGTATTTGCATTAAATCTTCAAGGGAATTTTAGGGAAGTCTTTTCAAAGAATGATGTCAGTTCAAGCTCAGATGTCAGTGTTCAGCTGTTTTAGCATTTTTGCAGGGTTTCAGAGGAGCTGCTTTCTGCATCCTCAGCCCTAGCCCAACTCTCTGACTACAGACTTTGTCAGTGGCAGAAGGAGCCCTGTGTAGCAATTGAGCTAGTGATATAACCTAGGGGACCACGTGGATGGGGAGGTAGAGACAAGTGGTGAAGGGAACTTTCTGCTAACTCTTTCTGTGTGGGTGGATTTAGGGTGATGCCCACGTGGACAGTACTACCTATGATGGGACGACGCCCCTACATATAGCAGCTGGAAGAGGGTCTACTAGGTTGGCAGCTCTTCTCAAAGCAGCAGGTAAGGTGACCTGGTGGTCAGTGACAGACCCTATCATCAACCATGTGAATTCAACTTGAGAAGCCAGTGCTACTAGTAGAAAGCATGAGTTAACATGGCCAGTCACACTTTAAGTGCAGTAAAGGTTCTGTTTTGCCTAATAATCCTGGGTTTTACCCTGATGGTCATGTTAGTTTTTACTTTTATTCATCGGTTTGTATTGCACTTGAGTTGTTCAGATTGACTCCTGTGACAAGGGAACTTAGTATAGAATCCTGAACTGTACCAGTCTCTGATCACAATACAAGTCTCCAGAAGAAAAAGATTTAAAGACTTACTTTTGGGGGAAAAAGGTACCTTAGAAATTGAAATCATAGGAAAAGCAAATGAACTGTGTATGAGTACTGCTGTGCACAAGACACTGAAACTTGTGTCTACTGACTTCACTCTGTTCCAAGCACTGTGCTGGCATTTCATGTACACTGTCTCATTAACCACATTTAATACACGATAACCCTTTGAGATAAATATTATTGTTACCATTCCCATCTTAGAGCAAACAAAACAGACTAGACAGATGATCAGGCCAAATCCTAGTGTCCTGTGTGGCAGAGCTATGAGGCACATCCCCACAGCCTGAAACTTCAGGCTTTCTCCTCTCCACCATGTTTCTTTCTGCTTTGGTCAGGTTTGCGGGTGCTCTTCTATTTACCTCTCATCCTATAAAGCATAGGAAATATTCCTGTTCGCCTTTGCGTCTCTAGTTTCTTATGTGTTTAGTCTTTAAAAATTGTTGATGTGGGGGCTGGAGAGGTGGCTCAGCATTTAAGAGCACTGGCTATTCTTGCAGAGGACCTGGGTTTGATTTCCAGCACTCACATGGTGGCTAACAACCGTCTATATTTCCAGTTCCAGGGGATCTGAAGCTCTCTTCTGACCTTCACAGGCATTGCACGACATGATGACATGACACGGGTGCACTTACACACATGCAGGCAATACAGTCATCCACATAAAATAAAATTAATAAATAAAATATTTTTCAATTATTGATGAAATTAGCATTTCAAACCTATTTTCACATATCTGATTTACTTAGAGGTTATTTTAAGAAACACTTTGGAAGGCTCATCCTTCATAAATTCAAAGAAACAGTGGATTGTGAGTACTATACCATGCTAAAGACAGAGGAACTTTTTGTTGGGAACATCATATTTTTCTGACAAGTAAATTGAACAGCAGCCTTTCTTTCTTCCTTAGTCAAATGACTTTGTTTTTCCCAAGAGATCTTGGTTGTAGAGTATATGAATCATTTTGGAAGTCACTGGTTATACTGAAGAAATGCCTTGATACAATAGGCTTTAACCCTTTCAGACGTGCTCTCTCTTAGCCAGGCATGGTGTTATATCTGTAATCCCAACACCCAGAAGACTGAGGCAAGAGAATTGCCAGAAACTTGAGGCCAGCTTGGTCTACATAGTGAGTTCCAAGCCAGCCAAGACTACATAGTGAGGTACTGTCTCAAAAATAAAATAAATTTAAATTTTAAAGTTTTGTCTTAAATTCCCAGAATGTCATGAAAGAATAACACATAACAGCTTCTCTTATACAAACAAACAAAGCCAGACGAAACGTGTAGTCCTGACCTTAGAGCCATGAAGGTCACTTCAGGAGCACGTGTAGCGTGGCTTCTCAGGCCTTCAGGCTGTTTCTCCACTGTATCTAAAGTCACAGTTCAGCAGGCTGGGCTGGCAGAGAGACAGCAGGAAGCAGCCCTGTGGCTTTCCTTGGGCACTCTCAATGTAGACATTGGCCCATGGCAGATGTTCTGCCAGCAAAATTAAATATGTTCCTCATCCCAGAGGGTGTGCTGAGCCTACCACTGTTCATTAACTATCAAGATGAACACTTTTACAGAGTAGTCAGGCTCTGAGAGGTAATGCCCTCCAACGTTTGAATTACTTTTTCGTGTTTTCTTGCTGGAAGCTAAAGAACACATTTGACTTCCCAAGTTTCATTAGCACCTATCTTTTCACATACCCTTGCGCAGGATTCTTTTGGGCATTTCTTTTTCTGCTGTTAAGAATTAGAGCTAGCACTTGGGAGGCAGAGGCAGGTGGCTCTCTGGGAATTCAAGCCAGCCTGGTATACACAATGAGACTCTGTCTCAGAAAACAAGGAATTTTTTGAGCTAGAAGTGCTGCACCTGGGAATGAAGCCAGCCATGCTGTAGTAGACATCAAGCAGATTTGCTGATTGATGAGTGAGAGAAGAGGGAGGGTGAGAAGTGTACATTGGCAGGCATGAATCTGAAGAGGTAGGACTTGACTCCGAGGCTCATCCTGGCCTCTGTAAACTACCGTCCACTGGGCCTCAGATTAAAATGCAGCATTCAGTTGAAAACATCCTAGAGTTGAAAGGTGGAGTATTTGAAGACCTTTGTTTTTTGGCTATGGAGAATGCCATAAGATACCCTTTCAGTCAAAGTCTTTATAT